ACTCAAAATATTCACTTGAATGTTCTTGTGACGTCTGTCAAAAAACAGTTTTCATCTGAGGTGCTTTCTGCAAGTGAGTTTTTTGGGTTTTGAGAATGGAACGAAATTACTTTCCGAAACGTTAGCCGTTGTGAAAAGACTAATTATTAAACTTGAATTTTTTCAATTATTCAAATTATTTGTAGTCAAAATTTGTGAATACAAAAAGTTACTGCCTTATTGGACTTTTCAGTGGTTTATATTACGCAGTAACTTTATGGGGTGAACTTTTCAATTTGCTCGTTATCACATTTCAGCATATTCTCCATTGATTTAGCTTCATTTATTTTTCAGATGTGGAAGGCTAAATGATTAAAAAACAGACCAATCAATTTTTAAATGTTTTTCCAAATGGTAATAGAAAAGATGAGTAGTCAAATCGAGTGTATTTGGTTTTCACCATATTGTTAAAGTCAGTTCCGATATTACTTTCATTCTCCTTATTTATCAATTGCATCTTGATTATCTATTCGTTTTATTCGTTTTGTGTAAAATCTCTTTTTACAATTCAATAAGAAAGTTGTCATCCACTTTGAAAAAACCGATAATACAGATTGACAATGTGAAAAAGTAGTTATAAATTGAAGATATCCTTTATGTAATGTACGCAAGTTCATTAAAACAGAAGTCGCGTGATATAGATATAAAATGCATTCAGATCCATCGAAGCATTTTGTAATATCGGAGAATCACTATTGAGAAATGGAATACCCGAACGGATACCTATTTGGAGGATTATTTATTTTTAATATCTTGTTGCATGAATCATTAAACTTTCTAAAGATCCTCTTAAGGATTATCTAGATGTAACTGTTTCAAGATGGCATGTTGTCAAATTCATCTCATTTAAATGTATACAACGCGCTGTCTCTGAGTTTCATCTTGCATGGTAATGTGCACCTTTAGCATTATCAGGTGATCTTCTAGACGTATTATGTATTGGAAAAGGTATGACTGTTTATTTTGGTCTGCCTTCCTTTTAATGAAGTCACTAAACTTTTTTAATTACCATAATTATGCAAATCTTTTTAAATGTAATTGTAAGATTTTACATGCTTACATTCAACTTTTATTCGATTCATTACACAGTTTCGGAGTTATTTTCTAGTCTCGTGTCTACCACTATAACTAGTTTCAACCAGACATGACAATTGTTCTAAAATAGAATAACATTTTTTTGCCTTTCTTTTTCAGTTCGTTGATTAAGGCAATGAAAGTAATTTATAAGAGAAATACGCACAAGCGTAACTGCGAAATCGGATTTGCAAAAATGGCACACGAACGTTGTGGTTTAGAGAAAAACCCATTGCCGTTTGTTAGGGGCATCTGGCTAATTATATACAAGAATTATATTAATGACTAGTGCTTTCAATAGATTACACCTAAAAGAAACTGAATATAAAAATAAGATATCAGGAATTTACAGAAATGTGTCACATGTGATATTGTATAGAGCACAATCATTGAAATACTTTTCAATTTTTCATAAATATGATTTTATTTTTTTCTGAAGCATAAAAAAATTATAAAAACAGCTATATATAAAAAAGTGTCACGACGCAAAACACACCAAGTTGTGGTCTGCGAAAGGCTAAGTTCTTGTGATCGATGAGAAATCGACTGCCTTGGATTATCCTGCACACAGCGGCAATATTTTCGGCAGATCTTGCGTTTCGTCGACGTACGGGTGTTGATCGATCGTTTACTGAACCAGTGGACTCAAATTTATCCATCACATTACGAATACTCTTCCTGGTAGGACGATTATGGCGACTGTATAATGGGAGAAGTGCGCGGTACGTTGTCCGAACAGAACAACTATTTTGATAAAATAATGTTATTATTCGCATGGCGATCCGTCCATGGTGATTTAGCAAAACAGACTGAACAACTGACAACTAATTTGACAGATGCAGCTTCAACAAGATGGCCATTTCGTTTTGTAGTCCCTATTGGAAGAACCTATATTTGCTGGTACCCATCATTCAAGCAACTTATTCAAACGCAGTTTGCCGATTAGCTATAAAAACGTCGAAATTTTCTTGTGCAAAATACCAATGGAAGTCACAAATGACCATGATTTAAATGGCTCTTCATGAGCCTTTAGGATGGAAAAAAGTGTTATTTTGTTCATGTGTTAATGTTAGTTCAAGCTACAGCTTTAGGATATATCTTCTGAACCAATTGAGATAGAGACATGATTCGAGAATCATACCGTAAAATGGTGTTTACCTAACATACTGATCAAAAAATAATTCCTTCATAGTCTTGAATGAATTTACAGGACCTTCAGTCAATAGTGTAAAAAACCTATAACATTCATTTGGGAGAAATAATATATTCGAGTGTCGAGTGAGGAATATTACTGTAATTTTATCCCAACATCATACCGTTATTTTTTTAACACCCCGACACGTGTTTCAATCCTCTTGGAAGATGATCACTTGGTGTTAAAAATAACGGTTTGGTGTTGGGATACAACAGTAATACAAGCAATACAGTAACACAAGTACTGTATTGTGAGCTTTTCACTGAACAGTTTACAAAACTGCAACACGTGCCTCAGGCGTATTCATAAACTGTGGTTTTGTGAATTGTTCAGTGAAAATCTCATGGATTTTCATCTGTATCGACCAATTATATGTTTAAAATATGTTTTTCCGTTGACCAGCTGTCACACCCTTACGAACGTCAACCCTCAGAAGTTGAAAGTTGTGCGAGATAAGGACTAACGAGGTCTTATCTTTTAACGTGTGATTGCTAACACGGGTTGGACGATATCGAGTGAAAATCGATATTTCAGCCTGCAGCTTGAACCACTGACTCGCACATCGGTCGATTGAGAGAGTGAACAAAGCACCTACGTCGAACCGCCCGGCTACCGACCTACCATTATATATCTTGAGGGGAAGAGGTCACACCAATGACATTAGGATGCACTCCAAGTTACCTGTTCCAATGCCAAATTCTATAAAATGAAAGATCAATGTAATCGAACATCTGAAAGTGTATTTTGACATTGAATACAGCATTGAGAGTGGCTCAGAAGTTGCATTAGCACTCATTGAATATTGTCATCACAACTATCAATTTCTTGTTGTTCATCACACTAATCTACCAACCCATCTTGCATATTTATGGGTTATCACTATCGATCACTCACAGCGTTTCGTGGCACGTATCTATAATTGCGAATTTGTTCATTGGCCCACTGAAATATCAATTCTCGATAAAACCTCGAAAATACGAGCGGTCAAATGCTGATGAGAATAAACATGAATAAAACAACACGCGTGTGCAAAAAGCGGGAGAGTACATCGCCCCAATCCTTGATTCCGTTGGTTGGCAGTTGTTGTGAAATAAGTTCACTTTAATCCTCAGCAATAACATTACGGCAATAATAACTACAAAGGGATGTTACGCTATAATCTACATATCATATGAAAGATCGAAAAGGGCTGAAAATGAACGGGAATGAAAGATACCACCAATCGTGAGATAGTATTTGCCAAATTCACCTTTATGTGCAGGAATTCAACAAAGGGTCTTGGCTTTGAAAACAATTTTAGTCGTTTAAAGGAATAGAACGCTCACAAATTATGTTTGCGGTGAGTTTATACCAGCCCTCTTTGCATACAAGAATAAAAAATCTAACATTTGGCTAAAGTGCCCAAGGGTTATGTAGTTTTGTGGTTGGGTGTGTAGGGTGCTGAATTCAAACATTAATATTTTGGTGGCTTCCCAACCACATGAAAAATTTAAATGAATGTCTACAGGACTGCTATTTTAATTGAAACGAAAGTGTGCAAAATGTCTTCACAACAGTAATAGTGTATTGTATACTGTGTTTTCTAAGATGGTAAATTATTTATTTATATGCGTGGGTAATTAGTAGTAATTAATAAGTGGTATGCTTATTAAAGTTCAACAATGTTCAACACTATACTCCAATCACACTCCAATCACATCTCAATTATTCCACTGTCACCTTATTTACTCGCACTATTTCGCTATAATTTAAAAGGAACTCTTTTCCGTCGATGCTCTCGATATAAAACTTTCGAATACCCTTGTATATTCACCATGGACGTGACAATATATGAAGGTAACAAATGGGCCAATAATAATTCGTCACGTCTTTTTTTTCAACAGAAAGCTTTTTTTTTAGTGCAAGGTAGTTTGAAAACTGCACTGAACTGAAGTTTGAAAATATTCTCAATTCTCTAGGACACAAGTGAAGCAAATCAATTGCCAAAAGTCTGTATATTTGTTCGAATCCGGTTAAAAATGTTGAGTTTTCCAAATTTGAACTTCCATTGTCTTTAAAAGTGTAGACAGATCTATCTTTAAAGAACACGTCTGTGTCTCACCTTATACGAAGACGTCATCTATGGGATAGCCAGAAGACTCACATCAAGAATATTAATGATAAGCGAAGCACCTAAAGCCAAGCTTAAACAAGCGGCATTGGTTTCATCAAGTTGCCATGCAGTGAAAGCTACAGAGAAAAAGAGAAGAAGAATATCGTTCAGCGTTTGATATCGAAGCTTACTAAGGACCGCCTTTGGGAGCCTCGTTTACCACTGATAATCGTGGATTGAATCTTCTGATATTCTCATAGATGGCGTCTTGGGGAAGCTGTCCATTCTTAATTATTAAGCTCAGGCTTCTACAATGATATTAGAGTCCACCAATGCATTCGTGGTTCAATCTAGCAGCACTGATGATACCTACTACAGGTCGATCTTGTCATAAAAGGGCAAAAAAACAATGGTTTCATGGACATATTTTCTATGAACTAATTGAGACTCCTAACTGATTCCTCCGCTTTTCAACAATGCAAATAAATTTAATCTGAAAAACTATTTTTCTAGTACAACCAACCTTTCTCCAGAAAATTGTAGGATTATTGAATCGCTCAAGTGATTAACATTTGATATCTGAAATCTTTATTGTTTCAGAATGAAGTAGGCGATATTATAGAAAGTCCGCCGACTGAGGCCGGACATCCCTTACACCAACCTTACACCAACCTCCGTCATGGGTCTGATGTGGCGCGTTTTCCTTCTTCTAGCAGCAGCCCTTACGTATTTCCAAACCAAAGCTGAACAAGGTGAGTGTTATAAAATTCTATTCACTTTTTTGTAATGCAATTATTACGTTATAGGTAATTTTGATTTTTGAAGATACGTTTTTTTCGGTATCAATCTCATCGACTACTATGCTCAGTAGCTTCGTGTTATGTTATGTTAATAAACCCCTGAGCCACCTAGAGCATTATGGCTGGCAAAATCTATCAATCTACAGACATTCTCGCGAAAAAATTACAGTCGGGCACTTAATCACTGCTCCAATTCATCGCTTTTTTTTGTCATTGAACATTTTTCTGTTGGCAAATTAAAACACAAGTTTGTGACTAATTTGGTTCTGTTCCCTTTTATTAGAATAAACCGCCCTCATCACATAGATTAGTAGTCTAATTTTTGATAACTTATAATTTCTCATTATACAAGATCATATCACCTAATAAATTAATTCAAAAAATATTAAAAATACTTTGAAACTTTAAATTGCTCTCATACCTTTCAAATCAAAATCGTTCTTTAGTCATTCGGTATTATTCACCATTTGGTATTGAGGATAAAACTTTAATATGTTCTGTAGTATTTTTCTAACCAGTACCAAAAATGAATAGGCAACTTATATCAACAATGATGTTGGAAAATAATTTCAAAATAAGTGTTAAAGTTTTGTTAATACATTCTTATTAGAGGTCTTTGATGGATGAAAATTAGTGACGATTTCAAATTGTAAATCTCAGTTTGCTTTTGTAATATTCTTCACCAATTAAGACTCACCAGAAATAACGGTCGTTTTAGTAGGAAAACATATTTCTAATTTAATAATATTCATGGTATCTTAATATAAATATAATTGCGTAATTCTCAACCAACACAATTTGAACAAGTACTGAATAATTCTTTGTCGAGATTTTAATTTCTTTCCTCAATACAACTGCAAGAAATGTTTCGCAAATTTATTAAAGACAATTGATATATAGAATTTAAGAAAAATTACCAATCAAAATAACACGAAAAGTATATTTTGGATGTTACTAATAATGAATATAACAAATCTCTCATCATCAGATCAAGCTCGAATATTTCTATAGCCTAAATCAATCCGTATTTAATATCAGACATTTCACAGATTGGTTTTTCATTCTTATTTTCACTCACCTAACATCCCTAAGATGTGATTTGCTGCTCCATTCCGATGTTAATTTTATTTGTTGTCCTTGCAGTTTTCGTATACATTCAAATATGACCACTTCTTTTGGATTTTTCCCATTACTTAGCTTTCTTTTTCGTAGTATTCCCCGTTTCTTTATCTTTGAGATATGTTCGCTATTCATAGTGTTCATCCTTCTTCTAAATAGAAGAAGGTAAATTGGGAATGGTCATTAAAAAAGTTTGTAAAAATGGTAAACTGGTCGCGTAAAATACCTTCCATATGGTTTCAGTATCTATTCGTTATTTAAATGATTATTATCGGTAAAGTTTTATCAAAATACATGCATTTATCTGAACAATTAGACGAGAAAAATACAAATTTGGAGATAGATGCATTTATTCTAACAACTTACCAAGATGCATATTTTCATCTTAACGAAAGCACGAGTATCAAAATACATAGATTCATCCCCAACAACTAATGAAGATGCATACAAACACTGAAGCGGGTAAATGTTATTTACCTGCTGCAGATGATTGCAACCCTTTTACGCTTGCAGATAAAGAGGATATTTTTGCGTCCACTTTACCACCGACCATGTTAACAAATCCAAACAGTTTACAGTAATGAACTAATTATTTTACACTTTCGTTATATGCCATAACAAAATAATTCGTTACACCTCGAACACTTCTTCTAATGGTTATTCTTGTAATTTTTTTCTTCTATTTTACCGCTTTAGTTTTTTCATGTTTTATCAACCCAACACATTTCTCCTTTATGATGTTTTCTTTACAGGGAAAATTCAAACGGAACTCAAGAAAATAGTTTTTCTCAAATTGTATTTAGTGCCTTCTAAAACTAATTACCCTTTGGCTCTTTTTTATACCTTCCGAAGACTCTCAATTGAGAATACTTTTGTCCTAGAAGAAAGTACTGCTTGTATACTGGCATTACATTGGCTAATGCCACTCAAAGGTAACATAATGACGACTTTTTTAATCCTTCAATAAATATATCTACTATCCACGGCAAGACTCTATTGAAATAAGGTCGTTACAAAAATAAATGGTTACAAGAGGTACTTTTCGAGGTAACAAAGGCTATAAATCTTTTATGGCCATTGTCGGGATATATTTTATGTGGGAGCTTAATCGCGTCAATCAACATACAATACAATTTGTGCGTTAAGATCTCGAACTGAATTCAAATTTATTGTTTTAATATTATGTAGATTCGACTTCTTCGGTTCCGAATGAGAGCCGGCAACTTGATTGTTATAAATAAATTAATATGGAAGACTAATGTTATCTTTATACTACTGACGTAATGGAAATTATGTCCTGTTTAAGTTACCTCACTATTAGTGACCCCTGTTGAGCTAGCAGAACCACCTCGAATTTTTACTTTTAGGCCATCAATTTTAGAATAATTTTGTACTCTATTCCAGAATTTTTTCTCTTCGTTTAACGGAGATAACGTGGGTTCTTCTAGTGAAAATCTCACAATAAAGTATTTCTTGAATACTTTATGGATTTTTATCAGTATCGATCGATTCCATCACATTGATTTTAAAGGTCATTAAGGTCATTTAGATTCCCGTTAGATTTGGAAAGAAAGGCGTATGTTCCTAATCAAAACTGATCGTTTGAAGTGAAATATTTAACTGATATGTCAATAAGATATAATCCAATAATTTTGAGTAATATTATTAGCTATAATGATGCTTTGAAAAAAATATTTTTTATCCAGTATTTTTATCCGAAATAGGATGTGTAGTTGTTGTATAATGATAATGGTCTTTATTATTCCCAAGAAACAATAATGTTTTTAACAGAGATAAAATTTGAAATAATGATTGAATCAATTATTTAAANTGACGATGCCCAACAAGCTGAAACAGCTGTCTACCGGTGTTCTGAAAATTATGTATTTTGACAATATTTGATAATTTTGTTGTTAAAAACCAAATTTGTTTGTGTATAATGTATTGCTGATTCAAAAATCATATAAACATAATCATAATCTTAATTACTTATAGTACTCTACTTATTATTACATAATTGAGATGATAATAACAGAGTTATTTCAAATTGTCTTTATACATCTTTATACATAAAGATGTGGAAATCTTCCAACGAAAGGAAGAAATTATTCAATTTCAAAAAATTAATTCTATACAAATATGTGTACGTAGATCATGCAAAGTGGTACATAGTTTTTGTCACAAACTGGAAGAAAAATCCATCTCGAAACAGCTACAAAATACAGTTTTCCAAACATTCGTTCTGAAATTGTCACGTAATGAAATTTATTCGCTTTTTTATTAAATCCCAGCTATTCAGAACCAACTATACTTTTGAAAAAATTATTATTATTACTTTATTATTATGGAATATGTTTTAGTTCGATTCGCATTTAAAATATTTAAGGATTTAATCAAGACTATAGATTTTCAACCCAGATCAAAGGTGTTCAAGATATTCACAGCGCCTGATATCAACTGAATAAAAAATTTATTCATGAGTATGAGTGCGTGTGGGTTGTCATTTTTTATATGATCGATTCAACGGTTCCATTTATCATCTATAGATTTCTTAGACGAAGTGAATATTGTATATATTCGTAACAGTAAATTCATAATAGAGAAGCCATTATTGTGGGTTCGTTCGATATGCTAATCGATCGCTGCGGAGCATTTATTAATAAAAATATACATTGAAAACACCTCATTACAATTTCGATATTTTGTTCTGCTATATTTTATTCTAATGAGACTTTTGTACAAACTTTATCGATATAATAACTGTCAAACGGGACTATCCATCGTTATAATTATAATTTATTTCTGGGATATATTAGATTGAATAGGTTTCCATTTCGTTACGTTTGAAATATTCGTTTGTGATGATTTATGGCAATGTCAAGTACGAACATGTAATTTGATAAACTACTATTTGGCTAAAACGTCGAATAAATAATGATACCCAGCAGGAAACCATTGATTTCTTTGATCTTTTCAATAAATATACGTAGGAAACAGAATGTTTTCACAGCAATTGCTCAGTGGTATACCATTTTCCAAATTGTTATCGTAGTAGTTTGATGATAATGGGAATGATCACTTACCCCACAGTATAGAATACTAGTCTTTGTTGCTGATCTCGGCGCACTGAAGGTCTGATATATTCATAAAGTTGTCATTTTTGACAACAAACTAAAAGGCGACTGATGTAGTTGAATCGATTATTATGTCGCTGGAATTGCAAAGGCTACTTCTCAAAAGCTTGGAACACTGTTCCGAACCAGAAAACTGTACACACCTCATCAACTTTTGATGCTGGATAAAGTTTTGATCTGGATTATTGAAGAAAAGTTGGAGATTTGTCTCTCTATAATACCTTCACGGGAGTTATTCAAGTTTAATTCCACCAAGAGAGGTACATATCAGAAATACGCGACGGACTGTGGCTACCCATCATTTTGAGGTTCAACTCAGTACACTTCGAACTTCACTGTTCAATCTTTCATTTGGAGAACTGCGTTTATGTGAAATAAACTTCCTGAGAACGTTTTTCCAACTGATTCAAATCCAACGTGAATCGCTACTTTCGCAAAGGCACCGCTCTTAGAGCGCCTTAAGAATTTTCCTGTAGTGCTTGTGTTTCGTCCTTAAAACAAAAATACCCTATAATAACTGTTCTAATTTTACAGGACCTTCGACTTTCGTAGTCTGCCTCGATTACCATAAACAGAATTTTTCAATTGAAGTTTACGACATGCTTTTTTGTATCTTTTTTGTATTTCAATTTCATTATATACCCCGATCCCGTCTGGGCGTCGCACGGGTAGCAGAACATATATGCCTCATTTTAGGAT